ATTGTTGCTGAAGTGAAACTGTTTGGAGATTTCTGTTTTAAGCTTGGAGCATTTGGTTTTGCAGAGGTAAGTTTTGTATTTTTGTATTTGGTTTCAGCTTGATTTTGAATCTGTTATCTTAATTCTGGAATCTGTTAATGTTAATTCTGGGATATGTTAATGTTGTTTTGAATCTGTTTTGAATCTGTGAATCTGTTTTGAATCTGTTAATGTTGTTTTGAATCTGTTAATGTTGTTTTGAATCTGTTAATGTTGTTTTATTTGTAGATAGCATTGGTGCTCAAACAACACAACGGGGTTCCTCAAATCCACTCACCACCAACACTTGAGTTTGTAACTTTAGTGTGTAACATTGGTGCATTGCATTTTCCTTTTATATTGTAACTTTAATTAACTTTGAATTGGATTTTTCTTTTTGGTTGTAACTTTAATTCATTTTGCTTTGCATTTTGCTTTTGGTTTGTAACTTTAAAGGATTTGGAATTGGAATGCTTGAGAAGTATAACTTTAATTGGAATGCTTGGAATTGTAACTTTAATTTTCTTTAGGTTGTCAATTTATAATATGCTTGAGGAGATTGTGAATTTATAATATGTTTGAGAAGTTGAGGTTGTGTATTTATTTATTTAGGTTGTGAATTTATATTTTTTGTGAATGCTTGAGAACTTGCGGTTTTAAACCGCTAATTCGCGGTAACCGACCGCAATTTGCGGTAACCGCAAATTGCGGTCGGTTCGCGGTTTGGAAAATCACCATACCGCAAATAGTCGGTCGGTTCGCGGTTTGGGCAAAAATTCGCGGTTACCGAACCGCAACCACCCCTAGGTGAATATGTCGGCCAACTGATCGAAGCTTCTTGTATAATGGGTCTGAATCACCTGCGACTGTACTTGTTCCCGAACATAATGACAGTCAACTTCGATGTGTTTCGTTCTCTCATGAAACACTGGGTTTGATGCTATGTGCATTGCTGCCTGGTTATTACAGAATAAGGACATAGGGTGAGTTGTAAACACACCTAAATCACACAGAAAAACTAATAAACCGCTGGACAACTTCCAATAATTCTTAATTCAAATATTGAATAATTTGCTCGACAAAAATATGAGCCACCAACTTCTTTTGAGAGTGAGTGGCCAGACCCCCCCCCCCCCCCCCCCTCTCTTTTTTTGAAACTCTTTTCTTGTTTATGGATTACCAAGCTGAAGTGAGGAGATTTGTTGAAGCACGCCACTTTTGAATTGAATATCCTTTTGGCCTTGCAATTTGAAATATTAATGTCCACAGGATATATGTGTAAAAGTCACTTGTAATTTAGCTAAGGAAATTGTGATTCAGATGTGCTTTATCTCTGCCTTCAATTTGAGGCTTGCACATAACCAAAGACAATCCATGCATCTTTTTTATTTATTTAACAAATGACTTTTTTGTGTGAATTTTTTGGGTTCAACAGCCTGCTCCCAGAAAAAGAATATTAAGTGAAGAACCAGTCTGATATTATTTTTATTATTCAGTTACTTCGTCTTTAGATGGGCGCTTTATCTCTTTATCGTTGGATCAAACTAACCCATTAGGTACGTACATCTCTACTACTAATCATATTATTTTTATAAATAAAAAAAAAACCAAGCATAGAGGCAAACAAAATTAACAGTCATCACCTCTGTATTAGAAAGCAATTGAGCGTCAACGAGGTCTAGTTCAGTGAAAAAAGCTTTAACTTGAAAACCAGTGGTCTCAGATTTGGACCCTATGACACCTTGGTAGTGTGCGTATGAGAGGATTTCAAGTCTCAACATTTAGCATCATGTACATTTATACACATTTAGAAAAGGCATAACAATAGTCAATATCGCAATTTTCTCTGAATTCCGGAAAGTGTGTTCTTGATAAGTAGAAAGTGAGTGTAGTCTTGAGTATAAATATCAATTAAGATAATTGTTACCTGCAAGGTACTTGTAGATCAAGTGATAAAAACCATTTAGCCTCGTACCTAAGGTCCTAAGTTTGATTCTTTATTCCTCCAATATCGCTTGTATTAAAAAAAATATATAGAAAAAAATATGTGTTATACAAAGAGGGGCAAAGATTCTAACGACTACTAACCTTTGGGTAATTTGGGCCAAGTTTTTGAAAAGAAGGGACTAATATGTGATTGACCCCAAACTCCAGGGGTTCAAACTGTAATTAACTTACCAATTATATTATACCTTTGGGTTCGGCATATGCACTCGTTTTCCTATTTAAGGATGTGAGAATAAGCTTGTCATCACAATCAATATTCATCAATATCTCATAAGTAGATCAGGAGTAGTCGTCTGGGATATGATGGCTTGTGAAAAGAGCAAGATACTCATAATCGGAGCCACAGGTTACCTTGGCAAATACATGTTGAAGGCAAGCGTCTCTTTGGGACATCTAACCTATGCCTATGTGCGACCAATCAAACCCAAAACCGATTCTTCCAAGCTTCTTCTGCACAAAGAATTTGAAGCCATGGGAGCCACCATCGTCCAAGTAAATTAAAATTCCTTCATTTCTTAGCCAAACTGCAGTCAAATATATATATATATATATGTATGTATTTATGCTGCAAATTCCTCATAGTTCATCAAGATATGAAAACTTCATGACGTAACAGGGTGAACTGGATGATCATGAAAAGCTAGTCAAAGCAGTCGAGCAAGTTGACGTTGTAATATCCACGGTGGCTGTCCCTCAACATCTTGAACAGCTGAAACTAATCAAAGCCATTAAAGATGCTGGAAATATAAAGGTCAATCTTCCCTTCTTGGTTTTTACTGAGAACTTATCGAACACCCTTATGGGGTCCACCCAAAATCACTGAAATTCAAAATCATTTAACCACTTAATTAAATGGTTGTCATTTTGGCATTTTTTTTTTAACGCCGTGTTCATCGATTTATTGATCCCAACAACTACCACTTTGTCTAATGTTTCACAAGCACGATTTTTGAATGAAGACTTAAAACATAGATGATTTTGATCATTCAAGTAGAATTTGCAGTAGATCCCACGAGGTATCCCTAAATAGTGGGGACCATTCTACAGCTATATATGTCATACATGTCTATCTAACCGATGTAATTGTAAAATCAGAGATTTATTCCGTCAGAATTTGGAAATGAAGTTGACAGAGTAAGTGGGCTGCCGCCATGAGTTGAGTTTGCTCATAATTTTGTTTTTTTTAATATTTCATACAGCAAGACATATTCGTTTCGAATCTCGTATAGTTAAAATTAAATAAATAAATGAGTTGACAAATAAATAAATAAATGCTGGTGTCTAGCCGTATGGTTATTCAAAGTGAGATTGAACATAACTGAGTATATTTACTAATTATGTTTGAACAAATTCTGGTGTCTAGCCGTGTTGAACTATGAGGAAAATGTTGCTACCTACACAATAAAAGCAGCAACAGATCCAAGGGTTGCCAACCGTGTCATCGTTTATAGGCCACAAGGAAACATTGTGTCCCAGTTGGATTTGATTTCTTCTTGGGAGAAGAAGACAGGATGCACTTTTACAAGGAGCTATGTCCCAGAAGAAAAAATACTCAAGCTCTCTGAGAGTAAGCAATTAATCTTTTTTTTTCTTTTTTTTTTTCTTGTGTTTAGAAGTTATATCCAACGAAAGTATTTGATACCAAACAATTCTCTCTCATTGTCTCTTTGGAAATGGAAATGGAAGCAAGCAATATGATAATGTGGTAGTGATATTTTTTTTGTGTGCCCTTCTTTCTTGCAGCCCTCCCTTCCCCAGACAACGTAAGGGTGTCAATTCTGCACAACATATTCATTAAAGGGGATCAAATGAGTTTTGAACTAACAGAAAATGACCTAGAGGCCTCCGAGTTATATCCTGATTACAACTACACTTCCATTGATAGCTTCCTCGACATTTGCCTGGTGGATCCTCCCAAGCCAAAATTAGCAGCATTTGAATGACTGTTTTCTTTTTGGATAAAATGGAAAACTACTATCCTTATTACTATTTTATGCTTTCTGGTTTGTATTTGTGAATGTTGGCCACGATCTCCTGGTCATTAGATGATGTTGCTTCAGAATTCATATCTTACTATCCACAATGCAAATCACAATATAAATTTTAAATTTAAAAAAAAAACTAAAAATGGGAGGGGATTTCTTACACAAACAATATCTAGGTGTCATTGAGGTTTGAACCTAAGACCATTTGTTTGCAAGTTAAGACCCTATTTCAATGGGTTAGATGGTAGACCGACCCCATTGGGTATGATGAAGTCTCTAATCAAAGTAAATATTTATAATTTATTTAAAACTCAAGAAATCCAAAAAGTAGTTTACCTTCCTTAAGGAATTGTTTTTCTCCATAAAAACAATTAAATAATAAAATCTGCTAAGTAATATGCCAAATTGTTTTTTTTTTCTCTGCATAAAAACATTAAATAATAAGACTTAACTATGGCTATTTTCTCTAACATAGAAATGTGTGGTAAAAAATGAACAATTGTAACCTAAATCTTAGTACCTAATTAAAGAAAATATTCCAAATAAATATAAATACCTAATCGAATACATTATACTTGGTCAAATTAATGGATGAAATTATGACATGTGGCAATATGCATCCATCCGTGACATATTTGGGCCTACAAAGTTAAGTCCTATCTGTTCTTTTTTAGGTGAGAAAAACATGTCACATTTGAGACAACGTTGTCCAATTACAGTTTGAAAATGATGGCTCTAGTTGCTTGTGCATTTCGGCACAGCTGCTCTCTTTCTCATCTTGACAGTTTGTAAGATCTATGAATAATTATGAAATTGTTTTAGAATTAAGATAAATATTTTTTTTTTTGTTTTTTTGAGAGGAAAGGTGAGGAGAAAACAATGAGAATATAACAAACTAAAATTAAAATCCGTTACATGTGTCATTCCTCCTCCATGGTTCACATCTTTCATCTAATTTCCAACACGTAGAGGTTAAATCACCAAGATCCCTTGAAGTTTGTGGTCTCTATCATTTAAATTTAAGAAAAAAAGACTATAAAATTACAAATTGATATACCATTAGTTTATTCGTCTGTCTAATAACTTCTTTTTTTGATGTGGCATCTGGTGGGTCAATTTTTTTATTACATAGATGCCAGAGTGATACCGCATGAAGCTACATGACCAAAATGTCACTGATCTTAAACTATGACTTACTTATTTAAGGGATAGGGAGATCCATGCATTCCTTTTATACAAGAGAAGCCCTAGACTTACTTGGAAAGCTAATGAAAAACCCTAAACTTACTTGGAAAGCTAATGAGAAACCCTAAACTTGCTAAGAAAGCTAATTAGAAAACAAAAAGAAAAATAATAAAAGTTTCCCAAAATATTCTAAAAACTTTAACGCTGAAATTAAATGTACTGGCTTCCTTTTTCCTTTTTTTTCCTTTTTGGTAATAGACCTTAGTGATAGATCAAATATAATGTGATGAATCAGTACAGCACTATATTATTATTTTCTGCATTATAATGACCTTCCAATTTTGTACGAGTGAAAGGTGACCACCAAAGCCAGGTCATATAGCCACTAACTTTGGGTGCGATGACATGACATGAAGTGCCAAATCAACGAATAATTTTTCCTTGGCCTGCAATGTCAATTTTCCAAGACTAAAAGCCACCGCCCAAAAACAATGAACTAACCTAAGGCTCTAACGTTCTTTAAGTGATTATTGGAATTCTCATGGAGCAATTGAGTTAGTTTTGCTAGTTTTATTTCATTACGGTAAATTACTCAAATATTCCTTAAACTTATATCCAATTTACATTTTGGTCCCTCAATTAAATTATTCGTTTAAATGGTCCATCAACTCTATATTATTCACTCCATTAGTTCTGCCGTTACATTCTATCAATATTTCCATTAAATATGAGGGCAAATTGGTCATTTCGTCCATCAACTCTCTCTCTCTCTCTCTCTCTCTCTCTCTCTTCTTCTTCTTATTCTTTCTCCTCCCAATCTTACAGCTGGGTTTCTTCTTCTTCTTTTTCTTCTTCTTCCTCCCAATCTGATGGCTGGGTAGCATAGGGTATCAACCCCACCTCCACCAAGATGGCTGGGGCACAGATCCTCTTAGCCAATGCTTGCTATTGCTTCTACGAGTTGGGCAATTTGTATTTGCTAAAATTGTCCCATAAATGATCAAATTACTAATAAATTTGAACAATTTAGCTTAAAACGACCCAACCCAAATTCCACTTTGAGATCCGGGTCGAATCCTGTTTAAAACTGACACCTGGTAACTATGAATCGTAACTGACCAAAATGCCCTAAAAACAGTAACATAAACCCTGAGCCCCTAACTTGTGGCTACGCCTGATAACTGTATGCTGCCTACGTACTCTTACTGAGGGATCAAGCCACACGTAGTTCTTTTCTCTGTTCCTGACCTGTAACTGAACTGTTTACAGTAAAACTGCTCTAGGGTTGACCATTCTGGAGTATCCGGGACTCCGTTTTATGATCCGTCAACTACTATACGATCCTGGGAAAGTCTAGATTAACATACTTGGAATTAACTACGATCTAACGGTTCAAACGTATTAAACCTGGAAATCGCACAGTAGGCGAGACCCGTTCGGGGTTCAAACGATATCCGAATTAAGATCCGTGAAATCCTACGTGCTCGTGAGGACTAGGAGATCATTCTAGGACTGACTGTGGTCTCCACCCTACTGCTCACGCCCCGTCCACGCACCGGCAGCGCGTGGTGCCTAAAGCAATAACGCTTCGCCAGAAAATCTCAACATCTCGGCTCAAGACTCCTATCCTAGGTAAAACACCCTATTTGGAACCACTTTTGTTCTTGGACCTACCCCAAAAACTGACCGGAAGTGGCCGAAACAGTGACCCAAAAACCTGCTGAAACCTAGCTCGTAAATCGAGCTATCTACGCTGGAAATTTCTGAAATCCTACCTAACCAGCAGCTAGAGCATTAAAAATAGCTAGAAATTCATACCTCACTCGTCCGATTTGGTGGCCGGACGACGGAGAACGACGAAGGGTGGGAAGTTTTGGCAAAACCCGTCCAGCGCCGCCTGTTTAGCGTCTGTTTCCGGCGACTATGGCGGTGGATCGAGGCGGAAAATGGCTGTAGTTGGAAGAGGGAAGTTTGGTGGTTCGTTTGGCACTGGTCTTGCCTGAATCGAAGGTCGGAGCTGAGAGAAAACAGCTCCCAAAGTCGGCTGGTCGCACCCGAGGAGGAGAAGAAAACTGGGTTTATAAAATCTGAACTTCGAAATATTTACGGTTATGCCACTGAACTTCTTTTGATCGTAACTCCTTCGTTACAATTCCGATTTGAGTCCACTACATGTCTACGAACTTGTTTCATCGCGATCTACACAACGGTATAACTAAAATCCCCAAATTCCTTCCCGATCAAAAAGTCAACTTTTAAACTAATAAAATATTCTATGGGTATTTTAGTCTTTTTCTCAAATAAATTAATAATTAAATATTAATTTTATGTTTGGGTTATTACATTCTGGTTGTGGATTGTTTTACAATCGGAAGA